TACAGTGTGGGGTTTTCACATGCAATCCAAAATACTTCCATCAAACTGGTCAACACAGCCTTCATGTAGTTTTCTTATTGCTAAAACAAAGATAATACAAATTGTCTTATAGGATTATTATGAGAAATAATATAATTCGACTGGGTGAGGTGGCTCACACCTGTCATCCTAGTACTCTGGCAGGCCACGGAGGGTGGATTGAGCTCAGGAGTTTGAGACCAGCCTGAGCAAGATTGAGACCCCTGTCTGTACTAAAGATAGAAAAACTAAGGCAAGAAGATCGCTTGAACCCAGGAGTTTGAGGTTGCTGTGAGCTATAATGATGCCACGGTACTCTACCAAGAGCAACAAAGTTAGACTCTTCTTTTTTTTGAGATAGAGTCTTACTATGTTGCCCTCATGGCATCATAGCTCATAGCAACCTCAAACTCTTGGGCTTAAGCAATTCTCTTGCCTCAGCCTCCCAAGTAGCAAGTAGCAAGTAGCTGGGACTATAGGCACCCACCACAACCCCCAGCTATTTTATTTTTTATTTTTTGCAGTTTTTGGCTGGGGCTGGATTTGAACCCGCCACCTCCAGCATATGGGGCCAGCACCTTACTCCTTTGAGCCACAGGCGCCACCTCGTAGCTATTTTGTTGTTGTTGTAGTTGTTATTGTTTTAGCAGGCCCAGCTAGGTTCGAGCCTACCAGCTCTGGTGTATATGGCCAGCACCCTAACCATTGAACCCAAAGTGAGACTTTTAATCAAAAAAAGAAAAGAAAAAGAAAAGAAGTATATTAAGTGCCTTAGTTTTTTGGGGGTTTTTGTTTTTTGTTTTTGTTTTGTTTTGTTTTTTATTAAGAGTCTCTAGCTGGGGCAGCACCTGTGGCTCAAGGAGTAGGGTGCTGGTCCCATATGCCAGAGGTGGTGGGTTCAAACCCAGCCCTGGCCAAAAAAAAAGAGTCTCCAGCTGTTGCCCTAGCATCATAGCTCATAGCAATCTCAAACTCTTGGGCTCAAGCTCTTGCCTCAGTGGGGTCTCGCTTTTGTTCAGGCTGTTTTTGAACTTATGAGCTCAAGCAATCTATCTGCCTCGGCCTCCCAGATTTGTAGGATTATAGGAGTGAGCCACTGTACCTGGCCATTCGATTCTTATTAACTATTAATTTTTGCCACTTTCTAAAGTTTTTATCTTCTTTCATTATTTTGTTTTTAGATTTGACGTACTATGTACAAAAGTACATTTGAGGCTGGGCAGAGTGGCTGACACCTATAATCTTAGCACTCTGGGAGGCCAAGGCAGGAGGATGCTTGAGTGCAAGAGTTTTAGATCAGCCTGAGCAAGAGGGAGATGCTGTCTTTACTTAAAAAAATAGAAAAAAATTAGTTGGGCATTGTGGTGGGCACCTATAGTTCTAGCTACTCAGAAGGCTGAGGCTGAAGTATCACCTGAATCCAGAATTTGAGGTTGCTATGAGCTAGGCTGACATTATGGCATTCTATCCTGGATATATCACAGTGAGACTCTCCAAAAAAAAAAA